AATGGAAGAAGCCTATTGAGAAGAAAAGACTTTCAAGGTCTATGGTGAGAATCTCGGCAGTAGAGAAGGTCTATGGTGAAAATCTCGTATTTTTCAGGATTACACCATACACCTTCTCTGGAACAACACTCTCTCTATCTTTCTTCTTATTTTGAGAGATGTGTTGCTTCCAAGATCTTAAATATCCACTTTGGATATTAAAGATCTATCAAACGCAACGCCAACCGCTCTGCCAAGCAGAATCTGCTGAAGCTGAAAACGGTCAATGGCGGAAGAGATCACAAAATCTCAAGACAAGACTTGGTTTAGGAATTATTGTAATTTGAATTGTATTTGTTTAAGAGTTTTTGTTAACAAGGTGTATATTATGTGAAACTAAAAGAAAGTTACAAAATTAGCTCTCAGTACAGCGACCGGAACTCTTAAACACTTGTTTGTCATCATCAAAAAGGGGGAAATTGTTGGGAAAAATATTATAGATTTTGATGATGATGTATTTAGAATGTAATAGGGACTTTAGGTCTCCCCAGATATTCAATGTAATTTTTTTTCCTTTTAGAAATATTGTTAAAACCAAGTTTCTTGAGATTTCCAATAAAGTTGTGATATTTCTTTAAGCGGTTTGATGCCTGAAGACTTAATCAAATTCAGAAATTTGGAAATTGGATATCTTGATCGGAAATGTCAGAGACAAGTAAGGATCTCTCAAAGCAGACGAAAATCCTCCTATCCGGAAGACTACATGAGAACTGGATGTCTCGTTACAACCCGCTGAAGGCTAAGTCGTAAGACTAACGCGGATTTCTTTCTCACCTGGAAGACTGAGTATGACTCTTCCAGATTTGTCAGCTAAAACCGGATGCCTCAAGGAAGACTGGAATTCTCAAAAAGCGGACAAGTGAGAAAAGACTTAGAAAATTATCTAAGTCTTGAATGAAGAAATTCTACCCGTTGGTAAGGAAAAATCAATCTCTTGATTTTCAACAGCTAGATTGAAGATAATTATGCTGATTCAAGAACAAATGACTCGAAGACAAAGTCTGGACCTCCAAAAATTGAAGAACCTGTCCAGAATTCCTAAACAAGCACTAGAAGACAAACAGAGTAAAGTGCTATAGTCCAGAATTCTTGAACAACAGCTAGAAGACGGATTCTATGGAAAAAGGAATCCCTCCTTTAACAATTGGGTATGTCCAAACACCCATTCCAATGAGGAATCTTCAAATCACAATCTTCATTCAAAATTCAAGCCAGCAAATGCAACGGATAGTCTATTTTGATTCAACGGATAGATTATCCAATCCAGCTATAAATAGCATCCTTGGAAGACTGGAGAAGAAGAGAGAACTCATCAACGATAAGAAGAACAACCACAAAGAGACTACCTCATTCACAGTTAGCCCAAAAAGCTTGATAAAGAGAGATTTCTAAACTCCTTATCCAGAAGCAAACTTCTCCTCCTTCCAAAGAGCTTTAGTGTAAATACTTGAAGGTTTCCTTGCCTCAAGTACCACACCACGTTGAAGGATACAACTTTTGATCAAACTTATTGATTGAAAGGGGGTAGGCCAACTTTTTTACAAGTTGGTCTTGCAAGTCCTATTGTTCGGACCTTGCAGTTGTTGAAGAAGCAAGATCTTCGAAGGAACAACAAAGCCAGCACGAGTGCAGTAGCAACATTGGCCTTGCGAAGATATACCATGCAGAAATTCACACAAGTGTAATTGTTGGTTCATTATTCAACAACCAACTACATAGTGGATTTTGAGGACGTAGAAGGATTACCCCACCTTCGAACCTCGTTAAAGTTTGCGTGTCTCTCTCTTTTATCTTTATTCTTACTTGCAATTATATTAACTGTGAGAACTAACCCATCCATATTGATTACTGCTCACTCTACCCACCAACTTCCGCACACAATCTAAAGTTCACAAGAACTCTAGATTAACACTCATTTTCACGTTTTCAAAAGAAACGAAAAAGTTTTAAGTTTGTAGCAAAGTCTATTCACCCCCCCTCTAGACTTTGTATCTCACCACTTAGGGACCACCAGAGACTAAAAATGGTATTTCAGAAAAATGGACCGAAGGTTGAAAAAGATGAACAATAGCTGAAAATTAGCAGGATGGATCGATCATATCAGTTGGATCGATCACTTGAGCATTTCTTTTACAGTCTGGATCGATCCAGACTACTGGATCAGTTCCCCAAAATTCTGACCCGAAAATTTGTTTGAAAATGCTATTTTTGAGCTCTAAAATCCTATTTTTTATACCAATTGATTAAGATTATTTTAAGGATGACTCTTTACAATAAAAATGATGTTTTAAACAAATAAAAATGTTATGTGATGCATGACGGTAAGTTCGGGTGTTAACACTCGAAACTAGACCGCTATTTGTTATCAATTGTTATGTCGATTAATGATTATGACGAATGATTTTTATGGATGCTTATGAATGATGAACTTACTCATCAAAATGATTATTGATGATTGAACCATGAGTAAAATGAATATATTGATAATTATTAAACGATTTGTATTGTTAACGATATCTAAAAGAACTCTAAGATATACCTATTAGTTAATTGATGTTAATGTTAGACGCCTTGCACACCTCTAGAGGGGGGGTGAATAGAGGTGTTCAAGAAAATAATAAAATTTTTGGCTTTAAGTAGAAAAGTGCAGGAATAAAATTAAAGGATAACCGAAATAATGAATGCAAAGAGACAACGATATATCCTGGTTCGGCCTAATGCCTACATCCAGTCCCCAAGGCAAACGTGCCTGAGATTCCACTAATCCTTGTTAAACTTAACGGAGTTTAACAATCCGAATACAACTCGAGAACTTGATTTCACAAGCCTCTAATCTTTCCACCGAAGTCTTGATTTCACAAAACTTTGGATTTCAATCCAAAACTTGAATTATTTCAAATTCAAGCTTTTTACAACTATACAACTTACAAACAATTTGCACAGCGGATAATACTCTTCAAACAAGAGCGGATTTGCTGTAGATTACAATCACCGTATAGTGTATAGCACACAAAAACTTTCCAACTCAAAGTGAAGAACGATTTCTCAAATGAAGAACTTGAATATTGAGTGGGAAGATGAAGACTTGAATGAATCTCTTTGTATAACCCGAGGAATGTAATTGAAAGTGTTCCTAGTTCTTCTTTTCTTTGAAAAACGAGATATGATTGAATAAATAGGGATAGGGATAAATTAACTTCCAAAAAGTGTCAGTTAATCTGTAAAAACTACCGATTTATTCGAATAAAACACAATTTATTCGAATAGTTTGAGTAAAACAAGATTTTTGAAAACATAGGGCTTATTCGAATAATTACTGGATTTATTTGAATAAAACAGAACGAACTGCAAAACTGGGAGCCCACTTATTTTCAAAGGGATTGCCCCACTAGGTTGCGGCAAACCTGGACATTTTCGAAGGGATTGCCCCACTAATCCTGGCAAACCATTTTTGACAACCCCAGTTGTCAGTCAATCAGCATCAGCACGACCTGCGCCAAGTCAACGATCAACGGCAGGATCTAATCCGGCCAAGAACCAGAGTCAGCAACAGGGACGAGCTCCTGCTCGTACTTATGCAATGAAGGCACGAGCTGAGGAAAACCCTGACGTCATTCAGGGTATGTTTTCCTTATTTGATTCTGTCATGCATGTGTTGATAGACCCTGGATCAACGTTATCTTATATCNACGAAATTATTTTAAGGGGGAGAGAAATGTAACGCCCCAAAAATAGGCCTATCAGAGTTAATTAAT